AGTGGGGATCCCCGCCATCCTACCCCGGTCTCCTGCAGATCCACCGGCCGGGAGCCCCAGCTGCTCTGCTGTGGCCACCGGTGATCTGCGGGACGTGGCCCTGCAGTGCCGTTGGCCCGGGGGTTTCCCCCCAGTGCAGCTGCGCTGGGTGGGCCCCCAGGAGGAGGAGGAGGAAGAGGGGGTGATGGGCGCCAGTTTTTCTGTGACTACCAGCATCCAGCCAGGGGCAACCACCAGGAATGGCAGCTCCTTCTCCTGCCTGGCCTCCCACCCCGCGCTGCCGCAAGGGGCCGTGTGTGGGACCACCCTGTGTGAGTGCTGGTGGGGGGGCACCTGTAGTGTTTATGTGTCGTGTGTCCCCAAGCAAAAACTCAAAAATATCCCTTCCTGACCCCCCCTTTGGCACAGCGGAGCCGTGGAGATCCCCACACCCCAAGGCCATGCTGGGACCCCCAGCTTGCTCCAAAACAGGGATCCCCTCGGCACAGCCAGAGCATCAAGTGGGGAGAGGGGGCTGTCCCCCCCTATTTTTGGGGGTCTGCTTCAAGCACAGCACCGCGCGCCCCGTCCTGACACCTCTCTCTCCCACAGGGGTCCCAGCCGGTGGCCCCTCCTGCGTGGCGGCGGCCACCAAAGGCGACGAGTACGTGATGCTGCGGTGCCGGTGGGCGGGGGGGACGCCGCCAGTGACCCTGCGCTGGTGGGACAGTGGGGGCCGGCCCTTGGGTGACCCCGCACCTTTTGCTGCCATCTTGGTGCTGAGTGCCAATGGCACGTTGGGGGGCCGGGATTTCATCTGCGCTGCCAACCACCCGCTACAGGCCGCTGGCACCGAGTGCCGCCTGCGGCTGGGTAAGCCGAACCCGTCCCCCTCCCTCTCCTTCCCTGCCACCACGGGATGGGGGGGTCACGCCAGCACCGTTCCCCCCCTCCCCGCTGCGCCCTGTGCGCAGAGGTCCCCAAGCTGGAGGCAGAGAGGAGCGAGGTGGCAGTGCTGGAGGGCGGCGAGGCGCGGCTGGCGTGTCGGCGGCACAGCCACGGGGCCAATCTTGGTGCTACCGTGGTTTGGTACGACCCCGAGGACCGGGAGGTGACACCGGGGTTGGCCAAATACCGGTTAGAACGGGGAGAAGAGTGGGTCAACCTCAGCGTCCGTGATGCCGAGTGGCCGCGGGACAACGGGATCTACCGCTGCACGGCGGCCAACGCCGTGGGCACCACCAGCCTCCCCGTCCACCTCCGCGTGGACCGTGAGTCCCCGGGAGGGGTGCGGGAGGAGATGGGATCCTAAAAAAAAGGAGGTCACCCCCTTCTTGCCGGCCACCCTCTTGCCGCAGGGTACCCAGCCCCCCCTAACGTCACCATCAGCAAGCTGCGGTACACACGGGCGCGCACCGAGGTGCGGCTGGAATGGCGGACGCAGGGCAGTGGCAACCTCACCGGCTTCGTGGTGCAGCGGCGCCAAGCCAAGAAACCTTCCCGGCGGGTGCCCGGCCCCTGGGAAACAGCCGCTGGCGACATCGAGCCCCACTCGCGCGACCGGCGCTTGGGGGGGCTGGACCCGGCCGTAATCTACGCTTTCCGCGTGCTGGCTGTCAACCACCGGACGGCCGGGCACCCCTCCGAGGTGCAGACGCCAGGTGACGTGGGCAAGGGGACGCCACTCCGTGGGGGCAAATCCGGGTTGGAGTGGAGTAGGGCAACGTTTGTACCCTGGTGGAGCTGAGGAGCTGAGTGTGAGCCACCATCAGTAGGTTCCAGAGCGAACAGGCACAGGCTCCCACTTCCCGCTGCCTTCTTGCGCTCTGCCAGGCTGTGGTTGGGGGCACCCGCTGCCTGACATGCTCCCTCCTCACCCGTGCGTGCCTTGTTACCCTAATTACCCCCAGAGGAGGAGTGGAGGCCGCTGACAGCAGCTGCTCTTTTCCAGCCGAGCCTCCCTTCGAGGCCTACCCAGCAGTGACGGCGGCAGCGGTGGTGGGGATGCTGGTGGCCACCGCTGCATCTCTCCTGGCCGTGCACTGCATCGCCCGCCACCGCGACACCCTCCCACGTGAGTGCCAGGGGCAGGGGGCGGCCACGGCTGCTCCCTGGCCCCCCCACACCTCATGTCCATCCGTCTGTCCCCAGGGCTGCACGACCTGCTCTTCCGCATGTGAGTGCCCAAACCGGCATCCCCGCCCAGCGCCAGCGCGTCCCCCCCCACACACACACACTCTGTCCCCCCCTTTCCAGGGCTGCTCCCGGTGCCCAGGAGCCCATCGGCACACCAGAGGACGCCGAGACGACCGGGGAGGAGGGAGCAGCACCAGGAGAGGCGGCTGCCCCTGGCCCAGCAGCAGGTAACGGCACTCATAGGGCTGAGGCACCCACCCCAGTGACCCAGCACCCACCCAGAGACTCTCCCCCATCTCTCCCAGAACCACTCTCAGCACCGCCGGACACCACCGAGGAGCGACCGGTTACCGTCACAGTCACCACACCAGTGACACCGTGACCACGGCGGCTGCTCCTCCTTACTTCCCTTTCCTCTCCCCATCGCACGTCCCTTTGCGTTAATAAAGGCAGGAAGGGGGATGGCTGAAGTCAAAACTCAGCTGATGGAAAAATATCTGTGATCCAGACCTGACACAAAACTTTGGGGCTGGTAGCAAAGGCGTTTTGCTTCTTCATATTTAAAAAGGTGTTCGGGGAAATAGATGATTTAGATGATTTTTCCTGGGCTTGGGGAAGGGAAAGCTTTCTAACCCCAAAAAGCACAAGGGAGGGGTGAAATTGTGATAAGAGTCCAGGCAGCAAGAAAGGGAGGAGGCTTGGCCTTAAAGCTCAGGCTAAGGCTTTACCCATGGCTACAAAAAGCAGCACAGCCTCAGTGTGGGTAAAAGTGGGTGACTGAGTGAAAACCTCTCCAGGTTAGTCACAAGCCTTCAGCTACTTCTGGTGCTAAAATAGAGATTTAGACTAAAATAAGGATTTTTGCACCCTGGGAAAGAAGTTCCCCCTGACTGGCAAGGGGAAACTTAAACCCCCTTTTTAAAAAAGGGAAAAAAGAAAGACCCAGGGAACTAGACGCCAGTCAGTCTCATCTCTGTGCCTGGAAGGAACATGGGGAGGATGCTCCTGGAAGCTGTGCTGGGGCCCATGGAGAATGAGGAGGTCACTGGTGAGAGCCAACATGATGTATTTGGTGGCCTTCTACGGCAGGTTACAGTGTTGGGGATAAGGGAAGAGCAAATGATGTCATCTACCTGGACTTGTGCAGCATCTGGCACTGTCCCACCCAACATCCGTGTCTCTGAACGGGAGAGACGTGGGTTTGCCGGATGCACCACGGGTGGGTAAGGAATTGGCTGGATGGTCTCACTCAGAGAGCCGTGGTCAATGGTGTGATGTCCCAGTGTAGAGCGGTGACGAGTGGCGTCCCCAGGGGTCGGGGCCGGCGCTGTTAACCCTTTGTTGGGGCCATGGACAGTGGGATCGAGGCACCCTCAGCAAGTCCCCACCGACACCGAGCTGTGTGGGGCGGGGACACGCTGAGGGAAGGATCCATCCAGAGGGACCTGGACAGGCCCGAGGGGGGGACTGGGCAAACCTCGTGGAGTTCAACAAGGCCAAGGGCAAGGTCCTGCCCAGGGGTCGGGGCAATCCCCAGCACAGACACAGGCTGGGCGAGGAGGGGCTGGAGAGCAGCCCCAAGGAGAAGGACTTGGGGGGGTTCCAGGGTGGAAAACTGACTCTGAGGCAGCAACGTGTGCTCACAGCCCAGAAAGGCCCCGTGTGCTGGGCTGCACCCAGAGCAGGGTGGGCACAGGCTGAGGGGGGGGATCCTCCCCCTCTGCTCCGCTCTGTGAGACCCCCCTGCAGGGCTGGGTCCAGCTCTGGGGCACCAACAGCAGAAGGACACGGAC